TTCATTCATTTATTCAGTCATTCATTCCTTCAGAAATATTTCTTGAGCATCTAGGAGGTGGCAGGGACTGTGCCAAGCACTGTAAGGGCCACAGAGATGCACGAGGCATGGTTCCTGGTCACACTTCACCACAACCAGCATCACACATCAGTGGCTACTTCCCTAAGGTCATTGTGCAATATCTCATGCCTCCACTTCCTGTCTTCATCCCTTCTCCTGCCATGGAGAACTCTCCCTTAGGGAGCAAGGCAGGGGCTGCTGCTGCTGGAAGTGTGGATTGGCAGAGAACCACCCTGCTGGAACACAGAGCAAGGAAAACTGAGGGAAATCACCCTGTCCCCCTATCTGACTGGGAATGCTAATAATAACAGTATTAGCCGCATCAATATCTCTAGAGGTGAAAATCAATTACAGGAACAACTGACCTATAATTCAGTGAGACATGTTCCACTGCCACGTCAATACCTCCTACAGTAGATGCTCTGAGAGTTTGTCGTGAATGACAAGCGAATGTCGGTGTTGCAGTGATTTAAGGACTAGCTGGTTCACCTTTAGATACAGGATTTATATCACAACCGACTCCTGGTGTTACCTTGTCAAGGTCTTTGTTAAAAGTAGGAAGAGGTCTCTGTGATGGAGATAACCCCAAGAGTGATGAGTATGTGGGGAGGAGGAGGAGGAAGTCAAGGAGGAAGAGGGTGACACTATCACTTTGGTAATACTGTCTATTCTGTAAGCAGTTTTTCTTTGTGGTTCTCTAAACAACCCAGTAGAGAGTGGGAGGGAGAGGGATGTGCCTCTTAGCTTCAGTTATCTCATCTGTAAAATGAAGCAAGAAACTTGCCCGAGGTCTCAAAACTGGCAAGTGTCAAAGAGGAGTCTAAACCCAGGTCTTCTGACTCCAAGTTTAGTGTCTTTCACATGACAGCATCCAGCTTAGTGCTTGGGACAGGTACTGCAGTGAAGAGCTGTGGATGAGTAGACTGTTCTCCAGAGCGCTAGTTCCGCAGAATGTCAAAGGCGTTACGCATACATACGAAGGTGTCCCTGTCAAATCAATCAGGGAACTGCTGGCATGAGGAAAGTCACAGGCGCTTCCTTACTGCAAGACTTCTCAGTGCCTTTTGTAGGCTCACCTAAGGAATGACTCCTTGTGACAATTCAAGTCGGGGAGAGAGGACACAGTGGCTTTTATTATGGACTAATTCCTTCATGGACTACCTTGAAAGGACTAGTTTTATAGGAAATACACTCACTTGAGGAAACTTTGCTTTAATTTGAAATTCGATCAGAAGGACATCCTGTGATCCAAGGAAGACAATGGGAGGATGGCAGCCCAATGTGTCCCCAGCAGGGCCACGGTCACACCTGGCCCTCATTCTTGTGCAGGTTCGTCCACCTGAGGTCTAACATCCCAGTAGATGGGCACTGACCTGCAGGTGGGGAGGTTCTGCCACCACCCACAGATGTGACCTTAGGCAAGTCACCTCCCCCTCTCGGGCTCCCTTCCTCTCTTATAAAGGGAATGGTTTGAATAATTCCCAAGGCTCATTCTAACCCCGTAACATATAATTCCAGTTTCTAGGCCAATTGGTTTTACACCAGTGGCTCTTACACAGGTGCACAAGACTCACCAGGCACCATGGTAACATGCAGATTTCTGAGTCCCAGCCCCAGACATTGCAATTCACTAGATTTAGGGCGAAGCTTGGGAATCTGTACTTGTAACCACAATGTCAGGTGATTTTGGCATGAAAGCCTATCTACACTAGGACCAAGGGAGATTTATTCAGACCCAGTGAGGACCACAGAGGGGCCCCTGGACATATGACAGATGGAGGCACTGGGACTTAGACACCAGGTGCTTGCAGGTGTACACGCCCAGCTCACTGCCTGCCTCCCTAAGAGTCAGCCATTCTCTAGCCTACAGCTGCGTCTTAAGTGGGCTTTGTTCTCCTTTTATTCATCTCAACTTGGTAATTATTCACTAACAGCCCTCTTGAGGGAACAGGGAAGAATTCCTTTGTTTATCTGCAATCCACCACCTATTTATTAAAAAGTATTAAGAAACCCCCAGGCACTGTGTCACACATTCAAGTGTGGACTCTGGAAATACTACCACAGTGGTAAAATCCATTTACAATCTGCTTACATGCTGTTTTGCAATGTTGGGTTCTAGAAGAGAAGTTGGCCCTTTTAGCAAACTTTTCCTGCTAACCTGAGAGTTACATAATTCCAAGCTCTGTTCGGAGGCAAGACGCCAAAAAGCTCTGGTGGCTGAAAGAACAATTGTTTTCTAATTTCACTTCAAACCAGACATGGATAAGGAACTTTAAAATTAAGGGAGATTTTCAAGTGAACATAAATTACTGTAGTAATCAAATATAAGTTATTAAAAAAAAGTTCAGGGATATGAAGTAGGACTGAGAATATGAGAGTATTGAAATTCTTTTCCTACAGGGGAAACTGGCAGAGAAAGTTCTGATTATAAGAAGTTCTTAATAGAGGTTCTCACTCCTGAAACCAAGATGGTTATCCTACCCCAGTTTTTATAGCTCCCAGAGGCAGAAGCAATAGAAACAAATAGAGTAGACAGGACTATGCTTTGTAGTTTCTTGTGCTTATTTTCTAGATACCTGTATCCCTATTGTATACATATTTTTTCTCATTCTTTTCATATAACATTATAACACAAGTTGCTACAAATCCTTGTAACGTAACATATAATGGCTGCATTTTTACCGATTGCACAAACATGCTATGTAGTTTAACCATTGCCTTCTTGTTGGACATTTTGGTTGTTTCCATTTTTTTCTCTCTTATGGAAAAAAATATTGTTATGAATTCTCAATGCATAAAGATTTTTCCATATTTAGGATTATCCTGTTAGGAGAGATTGGAATGTAGATCAAGTTCTAGCTCCACAGCAGAGTAAATTGCCCTCAGTTTTTCTTTACTTTCTCAAAATGCTAGAAAGATTTTGAAGCCAAGATTGTCTGAAGTCAAATATCGGGAAGGGCCTGACTTCAATGTAAAGATTTATGAAAAGGAAATAAAAATCTAAGCAAGTCTAGATATAAAATCAGAATGCTATTAACTACTACCTGATAATATTTATGGTTTAATAAGAAAACTACAAACTCAGTTCTATATGTTTAATTCTTAAAACATTCTTCTACATGTGTCATCTTTTCATTCATTTATTAGAAAGTATCTTAGATGAAATAGTCACTGAACTGTTTGCTAGAAAGTCTAATTCGTGGTGGTAGCAGTGAAATATTAATAGTCACTTTACGCATTAGATATGAAAGTACTTTGAAACAAGAAATTTAGCATGTTGTTATTACTACCCATTAGGAGAGTTGTTTAGCTATTTTTATCATTGTTCAGACAGAAGAACCAAAGCACAGGCTGGTAGAGGGATTTGTCTAAGTTCACAAGGCAAGTAGAGGCAGCACTGAACCTGGGGCCATGTTTTCCAATTCCTGGGCCTGTGATGAGTAGGGATACTCCATCACAACAAACTAAACCAGTCTTCATTCTTCCATTTGTCTCTGGGTAGAAAAAATAACACAGCAATTGTATCTGGGAGAAGGTCAATATCTAGACTCTGAGAGTAAAGAGATGAAAAACAGTTGTTCTCTGATCTCAGGAAGTTAGATTATAATGGGAGACACATGAATGCAATGGAGTCCCTTCAATCTGTTTAGGTATAACTCTGTTATACCTAAATACAGTAAAATGCTGAGGGCACATGGGGGGATACCAGGGAAGATTTCACCAAGGCAGGGACATTTGAATTATCCTGGAAAGAAAAACATGAGTTTATAAGACAAGAAATAGGTATATATTTTAGGGAAAAATATTCAAAGTGGAGGGCAAGAGGCATAAACAAAGAAACATAAGACAGCCAAGGCATGGGCTCTTCTTGGTTTGGTGATATAAATTCAGTGCCCCAGGAAAAAAATTTTTTTCTAATGTGGCAGTCAACATGTTAGCACCAGCCTAGTAACTCTCTATGCCTGGTTAGCCTCAAACATGTGTCACCTCAGTTCCCTCATTTGGGAAAATGAACCAGCAGAGCTACTGTGCAGAGTGACTGTGGGAAAACAGTGGTGCTATGGGAATAGACTCACTCTGCAAAACACAAGGCATCTTCACGTGCATGACTTTGCCTGGGTAGGGGCAGGGAGTGGGCGCTGGGGCAGTGGTTAGGATGAGTAAGACCAGGGTGGAGGGGAAGTCAGGAATTTAATTTTCTGCAGCCTAGAGCATGGTAGAACCTATAGGAACATTTCCGTATCTTTCCTAAGGATCACCCTGCCCTGGGAAAGGACTTGAATGGTCCCACAGAGAAATTAGACCCTTTTCCTGTTCCCCATTAGGAAATAGGAAAACACTTCTTTGACATCACCAAAGAAGTGGACTCTTTGGGGAAAGGAAGTGAATTGGTCACCCTAATCGTCAGTTCTATTCCAGCAGGGTCGGTGAGAGGACAGTCTTAGAATCCACTTCATGGGGCCAGAACAGAGACTGTTTCCTGAGCTGATAGCCTGAGAGCAAGCAGGACACCACAGGTGGCTTAAGAGAATCCATACCCCATTGTAATTGGAATCACATACGTTGACTATGCAATTCTTTTTCTTTTTGTCAATATAATTTCAACTGGGAGAGGGAGCATGGTGGAGCAGAAAGAGGATGAAGAGTCTGGATTTAATATCTGGGTTTACTGTCTGGTCTAATCCCTCCTCTGCCATTTATAAACTGAGTGAACTCAATTTCCTCATGTGCAAAATGGGCATATGTTGGGATTAGAACCAGACATACATCATGTTTTTCTCCCTCTCCAAGTAAAAATCAGAATCAAATACGAAATAGACATGACCCAAGTTGGGGGAGGGTTGTTGTCAATATTAGTTAAGTAACTGGCCCATTTAGATTTGGTAGTGCAGCCTGGATCTATGGCCAAATGTAATCCCTAATATTGTACCTTTTCCAAGGACTAAACCAAATTCATGCAAAGTAGCTGGACAACCATAGACACCTTCCTTCCCCTAAAGGCCACTCTTGGCAACAAAGAAGAGGACAGAAGGGATCAGACCACTTCCAAAATAAAAAGAGGTGAATGAACAAAACAGGAGCCTCACATCTTAAACCCATAGAACAAGAACACTGGGCCAGTGGATGTGCAGACCCTTGGCACCTCACCAACCGGAAAAAGGAAGCGACTCCCTGGGGGAAGAGAGGCCGCAGGGCTCTGTGACAGAAACCCCTCCTGGAAACAGGAGGGCAGAGGAAGAACTTCAATCAGACTCTGCTGCCTTAGATGGTCGGTGAAAGAGTTCAATGGGATCAACAAAACGCAACACCAATCTGCAAGCCAGTGAAGGTTCGTGTTTATTTTTTTTCCTTCTTTTTTCTCTATCCTTCAACCCACTTTAGAAAATGAAAAAGGCCAAGTTCCTTGGAGTTCCCCTGAGACATTCCCTGGGGCAGCACTGCCTACCTCAGTCTGAGGCCATGGCAAGTTGGACGACCACACACTCCGGGTGGCCGGGGACATGCTGGGCTAACTGCTGCTGTCCCTGTGTCCTGTCCAGGTCAGCATGGCCTGGATAGGAGACTCCCATAACTTACCCAGCCACCCTCTTTCCAGCAGAAGATTTTAAGCAGGCAAACATAGCAAATTCTCTTCTCTCTGTTTCCAAATCACTACTGTTCCTTGCCTCTTCTCGCAATCCTTCTCAGCCTCCTTTGCTGGATCCTCTTAAATAAAGGCCAACATTTCCCAGGTCTGACTCCTTTCTCTTTTCTTCTTTCCTTCTGTGTGTCAACTTTTCCAACCATGAATATGCCAACCTCCAAACCGCCCTTTCCTTCCCTGACTTTTCAACTTCCAACTTCCATCTCCAGCTGCTGAGAAAAAGCTCCAAAGCATGTCCCAAAGCTAAACTTGCACCAAAATACGGTCATGGTCACTGTTTGGTGATTTGCTGCCAGTCTGATCCACTATAGCTTTCTGAATCCCAACGAAACCATTCCAACTGAGAAGTATGCTCAGCAAATGGATGCGATGCACTGAAAACTGCAACACCTGCAGCCAGTATTGGTCAACAGAAAGGGCCCAATTCTCCATGACAACGCTGACCACATGTCACACAACCAACACTTCAAAAGTCGAATGAAGTGGGCTATGAAGTTTTGCCTCATCCGCCACATTTGCCTGACTTCTAGCCAAGCAACTACCACTTCTTCAAGCATCTTGACAACTCTTTGCAGAGAAAATGCTTCCACAACCAGCAGGATTATTTATTTTGAGCAAAATGTGTTGATTGCAATGGTTCCTATTTTGACTATTAAAGACGTGTTTGAGCCTAGTTATAATGATTTAAAATTCACGGTCCAAAACTGCAATTACTTTTGCTCCAGCCTAATACAAGTATCGACCTCCTCTAGTGTACACTTACCCATGGTTAAGATCGTTTGCCAAAATCTATTTCTCTCCTTCTCTGTCTCTCTATTTATGTCTGTTTTTGCCCATCCAGGTTTCTGTAACAGAATACTGTAGATTGAGTGGCTTATAAAAAAACATGTATTTATTTCTTATAGTTCTGAAGGCTGGGAGTGTCCAAGAGCAAGGTACTGGCCAGTTTGGTGTCTGGGGAGGACCTGCTTGCTAGTTCATTTTTCCTGGGTCCTCATGTGGTGGCAGAAGGGCAAGGCAGCCCTGTGGGATCTTTTCTGTAAGGTCACCAGTCCCATTCATGAGGGCTCTGCCCCCATGACCTACACTTCCAATAGGTTCCATCTCCAAATACCATCACATTGTGGGGTGGATTTCAACAGTGAATTTCAAGGCAACACAAATATTCAGTCTATGGCTCTCTCTTTCTCTCTCCTCTCCCTTTTCACACCCACACCAAACTTGCAAACTTGTCCTGACCCTCTTCATCCAGCACTGAGTCCAGACTTCTTAGAGTGGCCTACAGCCCTCTAGTGCTCCATCCCCATTTCCTTGTACTCACCCATCCACCCTCCAAGCCTTAAAGTCTGGATGTTTGGGTCAAGAGAAAACTCTCAAGACTCGGAATTGTGGTTTACTGGAAATGCATTCAGACCTGTCCTAGCCCTTCTAGGATCAGATCTCTGTCTCCCAGCCTTACTTGGGGCAAAGTGGCACAGTGTGAAAAGTATGGGATTTGGACTTTAAAGACCCAAGTGTGAATCATGGTTCTGCCATTCATTGGCTGTGGGACCGTGACAAATCACTAATCTCCAAGTCTCAGCATCCTCATTGGTGAAATGTGTTGGTTCCCTCACGACCTCGCAGAGCCATGGTGAAGACCATTTAAGCCAATATATGTGAAAGCTTCGTAAAATCTTAACTAGTCACATGTACGTGTTATGTGTTATTGTCACTTCTATCCTTTGAAGGGGCTGGATTGAAGATCTTTACGGGAGCCATCCCTTCATTTATTTACCTATTTGATCTATTTATTAAGTCCTTCCTGTGTGCTAGGTACTGATTTGGTTGGCATTCTAGTTTGCATGATCCAAAGAAAATTTGGAAAAGAGTTAACAGCAACCAAAAGCAGATGGAGGAGGAGAACAGGTATGTGGATTCTGTCACTGACCAAAGCAAGGAATCAGTGGGGTTTCCATTGTTACTGCTTTTCAGATATTCAGAAGTATTCTCAACATCTTTGAGGTAGCAATGAGGCCCACAACCGCAGTGAGGTGGCAAGTTTGTGATCACTCCAAATCCTCCAAATACAGACATGTAAAAATATCCACATTCACCCTGTGAGTTGTTACCTGTGAGAGACAGGCGTGTTGAGAGCTGTGAGAGAAGTTGAGTCAGGAGCTGGAACCACCCACCGGCCCTAGCTTTCCACCTGATGGGGACGCCAAGCCGGGCTCCACCGCTGCAGAGCCCCTGTCCACGGGGCTCAAAGGCCTCCTGGCCACAAGTGCGACCTTCCCACTCAGATTTAAGTGAGGGTTCTGGGGGGAGTTGGGGTCAGAGGTTGGGATAAAGGATGGGGCATGGGGCTGAGCCACTTTAGAGATAACAAACCAGGGGAGTTCCTGTTCATGCGGATACATTTTTGTACTTCGCTAATTTTTTTTAAATGAATGAAAGCCAACTACCTTCAGCAAATATGATGCTCTACTTGCATATCTTGACAAGGCAATTTGAATATACACAGGCCAAGAATTCAGTGAATAACCCTATGCATTCTGTGCACTATGAGAAATAGATCAATGTAACACAAAAATATATTTTATCAAAAATAAAATAAATCATGGATGAAATTCCCCTGTTCCTCCTATGTGACTTCAGTGTAGGAGAAAGGTGTCCACCTGGAATTGCATGCAGGATGATTAATAAAACTTTTAAATTTTATTTTTAATGACTATATTTTTCTTTTCTCACTTTCAGTTTGAAAATGCTTGAAACACAGAATATTTGATGTGGAGGTAAGAAGTAAGGATTTAGTTTGGTTTGAAATCTACATTGTAGATTCCTTGGCATTGGCACTTGAAGGATTAAAGACCTGAAATCTGCATTATCTTGTGGGAGAATAAATGGTTTAACAACTTTGCAAATTAATAGAATAAATTTATTTTTTGATTATATAGAGGGTTCCTCAATTGACTGATTTTTAAAAAAGAAAAGAAAAAGAAATCTCAAACCACCTATAGATGTAGGCAGACAGGTAGACTTTGGACTCTCTGAACTTTATTTTAATACCTTGTTATTCAATGTATGATATGAGAACCAGCTCCTTCAAATCACCAAGGAATTTGTTGGAAATGCTGACATTTAGCACCACCACCCCAGACCTTCTGAACCATAATCTGCATTTAACAAAACACCCAGGTGATCATATATATGCTACAGTTTCCACAGCTTTAGTGCTTGAGTTCTCAGTGTTGAGTTTAGGGGTCAATACTAAACTAGATACTTCACTAGACCTCTGGAGTCACAAGGAGAGAGACAGCTGATGCTCTGGCTGATGGGTAGTTCCCAAGCATGTGGGAGACATACATCTGTGAGTGACCAGCTGTCCTTTTATATAAATGGCTGCCTCTGGGCCAACACTGCAGGTGAAACAGAGCATCTGACTTACAGGACAAGGGGCATATCTTTAGAAAGAAAACAATCATCCAAAAAAGAGGAGGATGAAGAAATATCATCCATATCTGTTTTTCATTATCAAAATAATATTTCTGTTTTGCATGCTTTCTAGACTCCTTGGGGTATTCTGTTGCCACTCTGAGGTTTCCTTTTTTTCTTTTTACATATTTGGAAGCAATTTAATAGAAATGTTGCTGCATGGGAATAAAAATATTTTTCTCACAAAATGTTCCCATTCAATAAGTTGCCACATATTTTTGTTCCATATGGTGCTTCATAAACTAACAGCATCTGTAGGCAATGCAATTGACATAGCAGAAGAGTAGATTTATACGTTTAAAGTGGCTATAGAAATCTACATATACAATTTTTTTTTGCTTTAGACAAAAGATAATCACAGTTCAAATTTTTTTTTAAAAAAGTGATGTTAAACAGGAGCTCATGCCAAATTCCTTAAAAAGACCATAGAGAAGGTAAATGAACTTCTCCATTCATTTATTCATCTAGCAATTACTGATCTTTTACTCAGGAGTACAAAGATGAATGAAACCTTGTCCACAGCACTGAGGAACTCACCCTCTAGTGGGACAGAAAGAAAGAAGCTGTGGCAGTGTGATGAGAAATTTGGGGGAGTAAGCATGGGTGCTCTGGGATAACACAGTAGGGGTTCTTAGTGAGGCTGATTGGTGGAGTAGGAGCTGAGAGACATATTCCCAGAAAAGGTAACCCATGGGTAGAATGCTTTAAAAAGCAAGTCATGGCTGAATAATTTTAGGATCCACACTAAACTAGATGCTTCACTAGACCTCTAGAGTCACAAGGAGAGAGATAGCTGATACTTTGACTGGTAGGTCAGTTCCTAAGCACATGGGGGGCATACATCTGTGAGTGACCAACTTTCTTCAGATCTCTGCTTTGTATCAGTGAAGTCCTCTCTGACTGTCTGTATCAAGACCAATAGTCTCCTGAAACCCCTGCCCTCCCTATCTCTTCACCCTGTTTTGTTTCCTCCATAGCACTTGTTACCATGCAGGGTAGCCAAGATAGCTCTAATAATCCCTAGATTCTGGTATGCCCTTATGTTGTCCCCTCCCACATTTGATCAGTTATGACCAATAGAACTTGACAGAAGCGATGGCATGTCACTTCCAAGATTAGGTTATGAGTGATACCATGGCTTCTACCTTATTAATCTCTTTCTCATAATCATTCACTCTGGGGAAGCCAGTTGCCAAGTGATGAGCAGGTCTCTGGAGAGGTCTACATGGCAAGGAACAGAGCCTTGTGATAATGCCACTTGATTTAACTGGGAAGCAGATTCTCCAGCCCCAGATGAACCTTCAGATGAGACCGCAGGCCTAGCTCACAGCTTCACTACAAACTCATGAGAAACCTTAAGGCAGCATCACCCTACTACACTGCTCCCAGACTTCTAACTCTCAGAAACTAAACTTTGTTGTTTTAAGGTGCTAAGTTTTTAAGTAATTTGTTACACGGTAAGAGATAACTAATATGCCATCTGGCACATTATGGATTTACTTATTTATTATTGTCTTTCTCTCCAAGTAGAAGGTAAGCAGCAGAAGGAAAATTACTTAGCTTTATTGATTGCTGTTCCTCTAGGACCTAGAACACTGCCCAGATCTTAGCAGGTGCTCAAAATATGTTGAATGAATACTAGAACCTGCTGACATTCATTATAATGGTTTGCATGAGGATTTAGAGTGTTTCATTATATGTTGGACATCTCAGGATAAAAAGGACTAGCTCTATTTCTCTTCTGAGCTAACTGGTTGGGTGATTTGTAAGTGATGAAGTCTGTAACTAAGAAAATAACTCATTCAGGCTCTCTAGAGAACAAAAACAGAGGCACGGAAGCTGATGTTTTCAATTCAGACACACCTCATAGCATGATAGGTTTTTTCTATTTGGTTTCTCACCAAAGCCACTGGCAGCAGACCACTGTTGGGACTGTTCCTCAGCCCAAAATATGATTCACTACAGAGCTGGCTGGTTCCTGGGGAATAAGGTCCCTGGACTTATGAGCCAAAACAAACTCCACGGACATCAAAGCCCATTCCCTCTCCACAAATCGCCAAGGCTTGGGTCCTATAGGGCTGATGAGGGCAAGTTCTTCAAAGCTGAGGAACCCATGGGATAAATCTGAGCTATAAACATGGGAATCCAAAAGCCAAGAGTCCAAAAGCAAACACAGAGACCGAAGGAACAGGCTGAGAGTGGGAAAGTTAAGCTGGCCAGGGGACTGGGGCAAAACAATAGCAACCAGAAATTCCTGAGCAGAGTCCTGCATTGTAGCTTTGCATAGTCGGTGGTTCTCAGCCCTGCCTACCCAATAGAACCACCTGGGGACTAGTGCTGGCTAGTAAACTCTTATTTCTTACTTCAATATTACCCTCCTGTTCCACTTTGAAATGCTGGGGCTGGGATTCTGCCAAAAGCACTTCTTCTTTCCCAGCTCTGCCAAGAGGGTTGCTAGAAGGGACCAAAAGGATGGACTAGGACGAAAGAATTTTTGTCTGTCCTGTTTGCTTTGTGCTCTTATCAGTGTCACTCCAACGATGGTCCTCCAAACTCTGGTTTCTGTAGCAGCCACTGATTCTAATTTGCAGTTTTGCTACTATCCCAGAACCAGTTGTATCTGAGATACAAACATCAGCCAGCTAGTGCCTTCTCCTGAGAAGTTTGGGTCTCAGACAGCTCTGCGAAATTGCTCCCCTGAGCTCAGACACTGGCCACAGCTGGGAGCACACCTGCAGTGTCAGGGTCCCAGCTCTGCAGGGCCCCCCTCCCAGCCTCTAAGTTTCAGTAGCCTCAACTTCTTCCCCTTGTTTCTCTCCAGCCTTCAAGATAGTAGCTGCCTTCTGCATTCCTCAGTAACTGGTTAAAAAATAGTTTAATTAAATTCTTTGTTTCCTATTTCTATATCCTGACTGGACCCTGACTGTAGGCACTTAAAAATATACAGATGTCTAGGTTCTCCCATAACCAAATGTTGATTACATTGGTCTGCTGGGATAAGGCACAGGACATTTTAAAAGTCCATAAGTGATTTTAATGTGCAGCCAGGATTACCACTATGCTAGAATGTTCTGGTTTACCTGTATGGAATGGCACAACTGACGTAAAGGTAGAGCGTAAGATGCGCTAGAGCTGGAGCATGGATTGTCCCCATTTCTACCAGTTCCTTCAGCTGCCTAAACTAGCATTTAGCAGAAACCACATTTTTAATTTGACCACGTTCACTCATCCATTAAAGAGAAAGGGTTCTTTTAGCTATTCATATGTCTGACTCCTTAGCAGATGGGACCAGCCATTTGGGCTGGTCCTACCCTTCTGCTTCCATATTCTGAACGTCTCTGGACTTTTAAAATATCTCTGGATATCCCATTATGGGTGGGATCAACCACGGCAGGAATTTACCAAATGGATGTTTCCCTGTCACTAAAAGCAAAACAAGGGGCAGCTCTTGGGTATTTGCAAAGGTCTTTAGAAAAGAACACTTGCATTTGCATTCAGAGAACATCTATCTCACACAGGTTCTTTGTGTGCAAATTCAACTCCCTAGCTCCTGATTTTCATTAAATATTTCATGTGTGGGGGGAATATTGTCAACATTACTAATGGGTTTTCTGTTTAATTTCTCTATATAATTTGTCATCAAATAATCTCCCAGAAAGGAGTTCTGACCAAGTAGATGGGACCTCACGAAGAAGGATGGTTTGTTTCTGCAAAGAGAATAATTTTAATTTCAAACAAGCAGGAGCTTGGGAATGTATGGTCCTGGTGGCTTGGCAGGAACATTATGGAATGCAATTAAATGAACGTTCCTAGCACAAAAAATCAGTGTTTCAGGCTTTTGCATAATGTATCCGTTTGAATCAGACAGGGAGAGGAACTTCATGAAACTTACCATCTTCCCTCTGAATGGACTTTTCTCTGCTTGGCTGTCTTGCACGAGGTCATGGAATTATGCTAACCTCAGAGGGCACATCTCACAGCAGATAGTATGTGTGGATCCCCTCACTCTCCCCACCGCTAAATAAACCACACAACAGCTCAGAATAAGAGGCGATGAAAGGAAATAAGCAGACAAACAGGAAATTGGTAAAATGACAAAAGATGAGTGCAGACGAGAGTCTAAATCATGCCATATGACACAGTTATTTGCAGAAGTATCTGCTTTTGCTCTTGTCTCGCAGAGGGAAGTCTGGAATCAGCGCCTCTTCTACGTGTTATTTCTTTAAGGAAATGAGATCTGAAGCATGATAGACTATAAGAGAAGCATGCTTAAGCAAAGCCGCTTATAACCTTTCAAGTATTTCTAGTTTCTGCTATGCAGAGAAACACAGAAAAAGTACTAACAAATAAAGGGGAAATCTTGAAATGGATGGGGGAATGGAAGAACATTTCTTTGATCTTCAAAATGCTTTCCTTGGTTTGTTAATGGTTTGGGACAGTAACATTTAGGGGGTGAGGTTGCAGATTTCTAGAGATAGGAAGAGTGGTTGGCTAAACCATCAGTTGGAGCTGTGTTGGTGCCATCAATATTAAATTAATCAGGAAAACTTACATTATGTCCTTCTAGTCAGAAATTTTCAATGACTCCTCAGTATCCACAGGAGAAATTGTTGAATTTTTATTGCACCACAATTTTGTACCAACTTTTTTTTAATCTTGTCAACTGGGATTGTATCATGCAAATACTCCATTTTATATATATATATTTTTCTTTTTAAGACAGAGTCTCACTCTGTTGCCCAGGCTAGAGTGCCGTGGTGTCAGCCTAACTCACAGCAACCTCAAACTTCTGGGCTCAAGCGATCCTGGGACCACAGGCATGTGCCACCATGCCCAGCTAATTTTTCTTTTTTTATTAGAGATGGGGTATCCCTCTCACTCAGGCGTGTCTCAAACTCCTGACCTCAAGCGATCTTCCTGCCTCAGCTTCCCAGAATGCTAGGATTACAGACGTTTGCCACGGCGCCCAGCCTCAAACACTCCATTTTAGCATAAGGATTCATCTCTTGTCCCAGTATGTAGGAGCAGCCTGTTTCATATCTCAGTTCGCAACCATGCAATCTTGGATAAGTTCTCTGCCACTCTGACCTTCCATCTCTTCATCTGTAACTTGAGAATGATAGTAGCATGGATCTCATAAGGTCCTATTGTAAGAAACGCTCATGGGGTGACCAACCATCCCAGATTGGACGTCCAGAACTGACAGGCATCCTGAGATTCAGGGCTTTTGGTGCAAAAGCAGGAAACCTCCATGAAAACTGGGGTGAAATGGTCACCCTACATATCACAAGTAAAACACTTAGCACTGCACTTGGGACATAATAAAAATTATAACAATCATTTTATGTCACACGTTTTACTTCTTCTTTTCTAAACATGCCTTGCATTTCCTGCCTCCAAGCTTCTATCCCTTCCGACCACCTGCCACCCATTGCCCACCTCTGGAACCTTCTCCTGCCTTCTCTCCTTTGCTTATCTAAATCCTACTTGTCTTATTTCCCTGAGCAGACTGAGCAGTCCTGAGGGTGGGCCCCATCTTACTCAGATTTGTGTTTCCTGCAGCTCTAGACAGAGTGCCTGTCACATAATCAGGATGTGCCTCCTGCATGTTTTTAAACTAATGTCTGTTTTCCACCTTTGAAAAAGGTTACAGCTATAACTACATCAAATGTGTAGAAAACACCCTTGCCCTGAAGGTATTTACCGCCTAAGAAGAAAACTCCTGTCATATTGGCAAGATCTAATGCCAAGTATCCATTAATACACTGGTGGTGCTATATATGTGCTTTCACAGTTGCTACTGACTTTAAAAATATTTCCTCAACTATCACTCCTAAAAGGGAACGATCACTTGCAGGGGTCTTCAAACTTTTTAAACAGGGGGCCAGTTCACTGTCCCTCAGACCATTGGAGGGCCGGACTATACTTTAAAAAAAACTATGAACAAATTCTTGTGCATACTGCATATATCTTATTTTGAAGTAAAAAAACAAATGGGCAAAACCACCCACATGTGGCCCGAGGGCCATAGTTTGAGGACGCCTGACTTAGAGGAACAAGATTTTCCTTTTAGTTCCTTGTAAAATAGCTCAAGAAGTTTTTGTTGGTGTCACTAGAAGAAATTCTGACACTGCAGGATTACATGGTCGCACTCAATAGAATGTTCTTTTTGGAGTAGATTGTATATCATTATTTCCTTTGTGTAAATATAACACTATAACCAACACCAAGAAACCATTCTCTGAGAACTTAATTGCTTATTAAGATTTGAAATGGATTTGAATTTCAAAAGGCAACAGAAGAAATTGAAGACATGTATCTTTAAAGAATAATTACATCATTGAAAATCATATATTGAACATAATTTTGCAGATTCAATTTACTTGTTATTAGAGGAAGGATAGATTAATCCTTTAAATTTAAAAGTGTGCAGATTTGTTTTATTCAAAATTTGACTTAAAATTCTTAAACGTCTTATTTGGAAGTTGTGTTCCTATGTTCTCCATTGACAATTGTCTGGAGAAATAAGCCTACTCTTATGGTGACAGTCTCAGAAGGGTTTAAGAGTAAACAATGCTTTTATTTTATTTATGTCTTTCCATCCATTACAATTGGAACCATGTGTAATGCTGATTATTTGATTTTCAGAATCATGTTTATTATATTTTCCATCTCATTTCAGAGTTCATCGGATCTGGGACCCAACCATAACACGTAGATGAAATTACTATTGTTTTCTCCTGTTAATGAAAGCATATGTTATTTTTCCCTGTTCTAACTCTTAAAATAAAATTTGCATTAATAAGATGTTTAAGTTTGAATCCAGAATGACTGACAGGCTCTGAATGCAATTTAGAGTGATTGCAATCCATTGTTAACAGGCCTAGGGGAAGTAACATTAAAAGTCAAAAGTGGTCTCTCACCTAGCAGGGCCAGGCAACTGGGTCAAACGGGCTTCAAGGATTCTTCAATCCCAAACCCTTCCTCTTGGAAAATACATAGTCACATCACCTCCCACCCCAGCCCCTGGAATCTTGATTAAAGAGACTGCAGTAATCTTCAGCCATGGAAAGTCTAAACACCCAGGGCCTTCTGTGATCTGGAACAATCTTCCACCCCATCCCACCCCTGCCCGGCCACACTCACCTGCGCTTACGTTCTATTAAAGGGTAAAAAGGTAAATCAGAAGCAAATCAAATAAGACAAAACCAATGCAAACAAACAAAAATCCCCATACATTAAAAAAATTGTGTGTTATATCCTGGATTCAATAGATATTTAGCATAGCTGACATGTTTTTTTGTGCAATGTATGGCAGAACTGATTTTCTGACTGATAGCAGAAATGTAGTTACCAAATAATGGTTAAGAATATGGGCTTTAGATTTGGGCAAACCTAGTTTTAAACCACGTTGTGCCACTAGTTAGCTTGGTGGTCTTGAGCAAGGGATTGAAATACTCCAGCCGCTAAGCTCAGTCTCCTCATCTGCAAGGGGGAAAGACGGTCCTCCTGCACAGGTGGGATGAAGCTGCCCTGAACTGCCTGGTACCAAGTGTCCTCATGGCTGAAGACTCTGTGATGCTCGTGTCACTGGGGCAGGGCTCTCAACGCCCTGGCAATGTGATCCCGCATTGCCACAGTGCTCCACACTTGGCCGAGCAGATTCAGCTCTAGAACTCATGTGATGGCCACAACCACTATGGCGATGGTAAAGACAGGCATTAAAGTTCCTGTTACAGAAAAGAAAGTTAAAATAAGAATAAACACAAATCACAGTGAATGCTTCTTATGTGCCAGGTTCTGTCCTACATGTTTAACATATACCCTGCCATCAAATTTTCATAGTCACCCAGCAAGGTGGCTACTGTTATTATCCCCATGTTTTTACAGATATGAAAACTGAGGTTTCGAGGTCAACTAACTTGACCAAGTAACAGCAAATAAGGCACTGTGTTGCCTCATCCTGTTTTAGCTACGATAAAAAGATCTCAGTTACCCCAAGCTTCCGTTTCCTACTGAGTCCATTTGGGGGAGTTTCATCCCACTCCATGGATGGAGGGGCACAAAGTACAAGGCATGTCAGAAAGCACATATTTAATTCAGAGTTGGGCAGAAAGGCAAGCGAGGACCTGCACCAGCTCTTCTAAGCCCTGGAGCTTCTAGGCCGTGGCTCAGAGCCAGGCGTCAGTGATAACAGCTGGTGTGCCACCGAGCAAATCACAGCACCTCGAGTCAGACTGCCCTGTTCTCTGGGCTCTGCCAGTGGGAGGTGCAGCGTGGCCAGCAGGACTGGAGTTAGAACTCCCTGAGAGACAAGTGTGGCTGACCGGAGGGAAGTCCCTGTCTATACTGCCGAGGACCCGGGCCGTGAATGAAGACAACGCTTTGTTAAAGCAAAAGAGGGAAAGCTTTCTAGGAACGGAGTGTGCAGATTCCAGGAATTTGGCTATGAGTCAAGGATGAGCGGAGTGAAATCTGACAAATAGGCAACCAGGCCTGGAACAGGGAAGGGAAAGGACCACTTTGCAAATGTAGAAAGGGCAGACCTGTCCTTCTGAGTTAGCATCCTGTGCCTTGCACTAGCTGCGCGGTGAGCAGGGACTGAACTCTGGCTCTTGCCTGAGTTCAGAGAAGGGAGCCTTGTTGTCCACACCAGGTCTGTCCTGCACCAGGGACTGCCCTGGGTTAGTCCTGCCCTTGCTGTTCTCCCTGTGCCCCTGACCAAGTCTCCAAGGCTTCTGGGCTTCCGTTTCCTTGTCGTTAAGACCACGGGTGACATCTGAAGCCTTCTCATCCTAAAATGACAAGACTTTATTTATTTATTTATTTTTCTTTTGGAAGTCTCTCCCTGAATAGTTTCAACTTCTAAGAATTCTCCTTCTAAATATTTGGAGAATTTAAATGATTCTACAAGTCGAATAATACCTTATTAGTGCTCTGCAGGCTAAACTGAGGTAGAGGAGAAGTTTCTAGATTCAAACACTTAAACTGATTGAACATTTCTGCCATTGTTTTTTCAAACCATTGCTTAAAAAAAGAAATTTTTAGCTTTCCAAAAACAATTTAAAAAATATCGATTAATTACATTTAATCCAACTAACTCTATACAACTATTATGTTTTATTTTTCATTTTCCTCTTCCAATTTGTGCCCATCTGTCTAGTTCTACTAATACAGTTGCAACCATAATGCACATACAAGTTGGTCCTTTTTCTCTCACTTGATACTTCAGCTTAAACATTTTCTATGTATCTACAAAATCTATCTCATTATCGTTTCCGTGGATGCATTATTTTCCATCACAGTCCATGCACCATAATGTACTTAATGATTTCCAGAAAGTTGCACATAGAGCTTGCTTCAAATTTCTTCTTGCTAGTATCGATAATGTTGGTAATTAACATTTCTGTGCATATAGCTTTTTTTCCTTGATGGGTTATTGACTCTTAAAACAAAAAAAAAAAAAGCCCTCATGCATTTTGAAACTAACTGCTGGAATCTACGAAGCAGCATTCACATCCTCAGCATGTGGGTGTGTGTAAGCCACAGAATTCCCTCCCGCTGCTAGCAAGAGAGGCTCGGGACGCAGTTGGTATCAGCTATCCTGTTTTGAAGAGACCTGCACAAACTGTCCAAAACTGTACTTGGGGAAGCCCATTTATTTTATTTTCCTTCTTTTCCCTTTTAGTCTTTTAAAATTATTTTACAAGAGCCTGAGGGCAAAGTTGCCAACTTTTACATAGATAATTAAGTTCTTGTAAGGTCAAATCCTGGAGCCCATCAATACATGAGTGGATTAATAAAATGTGGAATACTACTCAACTACAAAAAGCAATGGTGATCTAGCACCTCTTATATTATCCTGGATAGAGACTGAGCCCATTGCTCCAAGTGAGGTATCACAAGGATGGAAAAACATGCACCACATGTACTCACCATCAAATTGGTACTAACTGACCAATACTAAGTTGTTCACATGGTAGTAATACTCACTGGGGGCCAGTTGCGGGAGAGTGGGGGGTAAATTCACAGCTAATGGGAGCAGAATGCACTGATGGGAGAGGGGCATGGTTGTAGCCCTGGCTCGGGTGGGGCAAACAGCATTACATGTCACCAAAGTGTTTGTACTGCCATAATACCCTGAATTAAAAAACAAATCCTGGAAGCAAGACCAAGCAATCTCCCAACTCCCATCAGTCCCTGATAAGCCAGTGTTTTCGTATAACAGTGTAACTTGAATAACCACCCATTCGATTTAAAACTCAATCCCAAAGCAAAGAGAGAGCTGTTTCTGTCTAGAAGCAGTACATCTGACATAGCAACTATGACACCCCAAACCAGAAGGGGCTATGAACAATTTCAACCACACTTAGAAAAAGTTTTCAACACTGTGGCAAATGTTGCCAATGTCAGATATCGGATAGATCTTCTAGTTCATAAGTCTCTAAAGGCTACCTTGTTTTCAAGTAAAAATCACAAAGAATTGAGTGATTTTTATTTTATAAGAAACAAGAGCTATTTACGAAAACGCAGAAATTCAAAATAAATTAAATGAAAGCCATACCTGTACAAATGCTTTTAAGGGGAAGACTTGAAGCCTGATGCCATTTGCCAAAGGCAGCACCAGGCTTGGGCAACCGAGCAAGAGCAGCCTGAAAATGTCTCATGGAGTGAAATTTAGGTCATTTTTATTCATTGTGTTATGCAGAGTCACAGACCTCAGAAAAACACACTAATAAAACATCACGCTTGGCTTAATGGTCTCCTCTCATTCGACTCCATAATGATAAATGAAATGCCATTAGCATAAGGCAAGTCCATTTCTTGTAGTCTGTGGAGCCCAGGATTGTGACAGAATTGGAATGCAGAGAATTGATTATTTGCAGTTCAAAGGAAAAATGTGGTGCATTTCCTAACCTCATGCTGAAGCCGCCACTCTGGGAAAGAACGAGCTCTGAGAGGGGCTGAGGTCACCAGACAGCAAACATAGAGTACTCAGGACTGGAGGTACAGGCCTGGAGTGATACCCGGAAAGAGTGTTATGAAGTAGCATTTAAGAAAGACCAGCAGAGCAGGACGTTGGACAAGGCTGCAAGGGTCTCTTCCTTGCTCTGCAAGGATGCCCTTCTTCAGTCACTATAAAAACACCTTTGTGTTAAGCTCCTGCCATGGCCCACGTCCTCTGCTGGGCCCTGAGAAAGTAGCTAGAAATAAGATAGACAAGTCCTTGCCCTCATGCGGCTTACATTCTAGTGAGGAAGACATTCTGAGAAATGAATTAAAAATGGCACTTTTATAAGCACTTTTCACTGTCTGGAATTATTAACAGGGCAATGCTGTGGTAGGGCTGTTAGATTTAGCAAATAAAAATATCGAATAAAGAGTTAAATTTGAATTTCAGATAAACAATGAATCATTTTGTAGTATATCTCATGCAATATTTGGAACATACTTATATTTTAAAAAATGATTCATTATCTGAAATTCAAATTTAACTGAGCAGCCCATATTTTATCTGCTAACCCGAGCAGTGGGTAGTGGGCAAGGGGCACACAGAATAGAATAGTCAGGGAAGGCCTCTCTTCTAAGACTTTTCCAGGTTGGGAGCAATGTGAGTACAGAATGCCCATGTGATAAAAACAAATAGTAAATCCTTACGCAGAGCTTGCTTGTGCCAGGCAGTTTTCTAGGTATTGACGTATATTAATGTGTTTCATCTTCACAGTAGTCCTATTATCCCTATTTGACAGATGGGAACACTGAGGCACAGGCAGGTTAAGTAACCTACCCAAGGCCACTCAGTAAGTGAAGTAGTCAGAGAGTCTGGCTCCTGAGTTTGTGCTCTAACCCCTGTTACTGTCACGTAACCATTGGAAGCATTCCAATGAAATCAAGGAGGTTTCTTGGGACACACTGTTATTCCAGCCAGCTGAGGAAGACACTGTCCTCTCGTCTTTTAACCACTTCGGTACCAGCGTCGACTATAGTCAATAGCCACAGATGAATGTGCTCAGTGACTTTAGCCGACAGCCGTGATATGACTTTTCCAATTTCTCATTTATCAAAA